AAATCAGAAACAAAAAAAAAAAAAAAAAAAAAGAAAAACACAACAGAGAGAAGAAGAAGAAGAAAGGGATGGAACCGACGACGTGTAAAACGGAGGTCCGTAAATGAAATTTCGCCTAGTTGTCAATTTCACCGAAGGTCAACGATTTTTTCAACAAGAAACCTCTCTATCGACTCTCACTTGTATCCTCCTTGTAAATAAGTGTGCGAACGATTTTTATCAGTTTGCAAAGACGTGTGATCACAATTTTTTACGAAAGACTGAACCCGTGATCGGTTAACAAACACGGATTTCGATCCACTAATCAAAATTTGTTGTTCCGTTTATAGATCATTCTACTTTTAATTTTACTTTCTTTTTTTTCCCTCCTACGTTCTTAATCTCTCTTCGATCTCAGGAGATCGGAGTTAAAAGCCCGGACATCCGGACGGACGTTATTTCTTCTCTTCTCTCTTTCACCACACTCGTCCGGATGTTCTCGCCGCTCTTTAATCTGTTTCCTGTTCATTAAAATGCAACTTGTCCGAAGTATAGAAATATATAATTATTAAAAAAAGAAATACAAACAAAAATAAAAAACAATTATTCCGCCGACAAAGAAATAACAGAAGATACGTACTTAATTATCATAACACCGTCATATATTCCAATCGCTACAAAAAATAAAAACAAAAAAATACCATCGAGTGAAGATAATAAGTGATACATCTTATTTGTTTATCGCATCGAGCTATTCAAATTTCTGTCACGATAACCCGTTCGATACGAGTCCACGTACGAAATATCCACGATCTATAACGGAACTAGCCTTTTCTCAAATACTACGCTCTTATCTTTCCATTATCAGTTCCACTATTCGGTCTTCCCAACTGACGTTCGAAATAGTTTTTAACCGAGGGAAAAAAGAAAAAAAAAAATGAAATTGAAATTTATCGAGAATTATTAGCTTCCGTATTTTAACTGCAATGAAAAACTATCTGCGAGATCCATTTGAATGATCTAGTCAAGTCAATGAAAATGGCACGCGGACTGTAGATTACTTCTATCTATAGGCGTTAAATGGGGAGAATATTCTAATCGCCATAATCATGATCGCGTAGTTACGATAATGACTGTGTAATCTGTGAAAATGGCGCAGCTCAAGTGGCCTAAAAGGCTTCGCGCTTCAGTTAGGAGATCTTTTTCATCTCGTGCGCGCTTTTAACACACGTGTTTATAAGATAGAAACGGTCCCGATCGCGGAAAAAGAAAAAAAAACCTCAGAGCAAACAGCTGCATTCTAACACATCTGGATAACACATATTTACATCGTGAGCTTATTAGATAATACATGTTCTACGTGGAGAGCTCTACTACTCGCTCTATACTCTATGCTTGGCTACGTTTCATTCTATTCGACGAAGTTTAAACTTGTATAGATAATCTCTGTAACACGTTTTTTGTGTATCCAGAAGAGAGAACAGTTTATTGACGTAATATTATCTCTTATTCCGATCTCACGGTACTTTTATCTCTGCGATTGAAGAACCAGAAAGAGAGACAAATGTAACTATTGAAAAAGGAAAACAATGAGAACGTGTCCGAAAATTGCAAGAAATTATTTTTTCAATCGTAAACGTGTTATAATCGACATCTTGTTCTTTATTACTATAAAACGCATGCAATGGAATTAATATTTCATAATACGATCCGGTTTAAAATGTATACGCTGAATTATTTCTCGAACCGTTCACGGAAATACCGAAGAATAAATATTGTTTAGTTTGAAAAGGGAAATCAGAATTGAATTTTCCTCCTTCACACCGCGTGTTTGGTTACTAAGAATCACTCAAGGTCACCCCGATTATTTTTCGCAATTTCCATTAAATCCATCTTGCATTGTGTACCAGAGTGGATTTAATCGCTGATCAAACCTTCTCGAAACATTGCTGTCAGCGGTAGCCATAAATTTGCCATCGTTTTCTGTGCTCTGTCAACGGTTCTCAACTTCGACTATTCCCGCGCTTTCGCTATTTTGCCGCGCGCAAAACGCGTCTTAGAATCACCGCTGTGTTCCACGCTGAAAGCGATGGTTAATTCGAAACATTACACGCTGTTTAAATTCCATCCAAACATTCTCATTCTACGATTTACAATTAAAAAAAAAAAAAAAAAGAATGATATAAGTTTCGTTCAAAAGTAAGGGGATCTTGGGTCAAAACTTGAAATCCCCCACGAGTTCCGAGAAAAAAGAATTCATTTCCACCCGTCAGGTTTCTCCTTTCAAAATAAACAACTCTCTCTCTCCGCGTAACCAGTCTCGTTTGACAGTTCAAAAAATAATCGAACATACACAATCACTCTCTGATCGGGAAACATCTCCGTGTATTTATCGAAGCTGGGCTGCGCGGCGCGAAGAATCTACAGAGAAGGCGCGCATAAAACCGTTTCTCGATCCGTGGAGAAGTTCGAGTTAATACGTTGAAACGCGGGAGTTCCCGATTTTCTTTCTTTTCACCATCTTTTTTCCCCCTCCCTCTCTCTCGCTCTTCGTTCCCCTCGGTCGACCCTCTCCACCCTTTACCCCCACCGCCGCTGCTGCTGCTGCACGTCGCTAAGAGTGCTAACTAAACGCATGTAGTGTAGCGGTGCTCCGCCGTTATTTTTGGATCGCTTCAACGACTTCAAAGAGATAAAATTTTATCATCCCTCGAAAAACGGGGACGCGTTAGATGTAAGAAAACATCGCGAGACACGGAATACAGAGCGGACCGTGGTGTTCACGATGAGTTACATTTTCTCCGAGAGAGGGGGGGAAATTCGATCTGTCTCGCGACGAACGTAGAAAATGTAGAGAGACGTTGAATCTTAGAGCGGTGGTGTATGGTATAGTGGCGCGCTTCCACGCGATCCCACACCGATTTTTCTCCTCATTCGTCTCTCTTCACGTACCGCGGTACGAACGTGCGCTCGCGCGGACGCGATGACATTTTTAATTAGAACGTTTCACATCGAAATACATACTGTGTCAACGGATAATTCGAGGCTCCTGGTAATATTATGATAGACGACGTGTCATCGTCATTTATGAACAGTTCATTAACTTCGTTATCTGGAGGATTTTTGTTTTTTAATACTAGTTTGCATTATGATACAAATCGATACTAGTTTAAATTGCAGATGAAAGTCTCTCTCTATCTCTCTTTGATCCCTTCAAGGTAAAAATCTATATTTATATTTTTGAGAAGTCTATTTTTTTTGGTTATATATCGTATGTGGCTGTACTTTTTTTTCAGGACAGTTAAGAGCTGTATACGAGAAGAAAAGTACGTAATTATCGTCGCAGGAATTTTCATTGCATTTCAATAACGCGTTATACGTTATTGTGACAGTTTCTCACTTGTTATCTTCGAAATGATTTATCCGTTAAGCGTATGCGACCGGTATTTGTACGTTATACAGAAACACAACCATCCCCACCTACTCCCCCGAAAAAAAAACCGTAAGTGCGAAGAAGTTACTTCTATCTATATGCAACGGCAGTTGTAAGTCTGAATACAATTTTTTTAACCAGCGTAAAACGAACATACACACAATATGAGAAATAACCAAGACTTAATCACGTGCTTTTAAGGGATGCCCGAATGAAATTACGTCAGGCGCCATTGAACCGTTCCTCGAACGTTTATTTTCGATAATGTGGACGGGAATTGTACGTTACTTTTAGAATGAATCACGGAACTGATTATAGGATTATAAAGGCATTAACAGTTAAACAGTCGTTACCGCTCTTTAGGTATACAAATTTTAGGTGGCCGCAGATGTACTTCGTCAGAGAACCCACTCGTCAAAAATAGGCTGTGGAAATAGCATGAAAGCATTCGTTCCAAGATATTACGTATTGTGTAGCTGAACGAGAGATAACATAAATCGTGTGTGCATTATATATTTTATTAATGTTAGATTATTCCAATTGCGTAATAGTTTTTCTCGATAATCAAAAGAAAAAAGAAAAGTTCCTCTTTATGATGATGCGACTTCGCGCGATCTTTCGAACGCTTTTTGGTACGTTGTATTTATCTGCTGCATTTTTATGCCTACTAGTTGAACACACACACACACATCACACACACGCGCGCGCGCGCGTTACGAATGCTCTAATGAGAACTTGTGAAAAAAAAAACTTTATTTTTGTAGAAATAATATGGAAATTTTTAGAGAAAATTAGAACATTTTCTTCGTTTAATTTATAACAAAGGAGTAAACAAATATTACTCCTTCCATTCTTGTTCCTAAAATTCCTTTCTATTTTTTACAGTGAAGTATAAAGAAAAAAAAAAAACTGAAAATCACACGAAATCTATTCTCTCTCTACATTTCTCTTTTCTTTTTCCTAACGCCATCGATTTCGTGACTGCGAAATGCAAAGGTAAAAGTCCCAAAAACTTTTCCAACTGATACATATCTCTACCTTTGCAACGGCGCGGCTCGCGCTATAGGTGTAAGTCAGGGCAGCCAGTTTTACTGAATTACTTTACAATTCAAATTGTCCACGTGTCCCTATAGGACTTTCTCATTCTCTGCCCGATAAACGATTCAATTTTCTGTTACCACTTTAATGTTTGATTTAAATGATATATTTAAGATAAGTAGTTTGAAAAAAATATGCTGAACCTACAGCACACAATCAATAAACGAGATTGTTTATCGAAGTACTCTTTTCTTTTTTTTTTTGTTGCCTTATGTCATGCTAACATTCTCTTCCGGCAAATCGTTCAAATTTTCTTTTCTTTTTTTTTCGTAGAGAAAGACATCTGATTATCGTTTCATAATAAAAGTCGAGTCGAGTTGAGTCGATGAAGGATTGTTGCACGCGTGGCGTGCACCGTTAACGTTTCATTTGTTAAAGGTGGAAGGATACGCTGTTGTAGAATCGAAACACGGCAATGTCATGCTTGCTGACAATGCAGCAACAAAATTAATAATGGAGACAGTTGTGTCAGTTCATATAAAACCTTTGGCATCGAGCCCATATCCTTCCGAAAAGTAAAATTCTAATTCTTTCCAAGAAAAATTCAGATCACTTAGTGTCACGTGACCAAAAGAAACTTAACATACACGAGAAAGTAGAACTATGGTTTAAAAAGTACTTGTAAATTGATTAAAAAAAAAATGTATACATATATATATATATACGATTGTTTTATTATTTTTATCTTTTAGCGTTAAAATTGTAATAATACGAAAAATTAATCGATGTTAACTGCATGTGCGAGATAAAAAAAAATCTGACGTGACCTTTTTTTGTAATTATGAAGGATGTTATCCTTCGCAACAATAGAGCAATCGTATTGTAACTGCACGTAAACACCGTATATCGTTGTATTACATCATAAGCAAATGAAGCGTTACATACCTTCTCTTGCGTCCGATTCCACACAATTACGCTGTGTCCACTGTTGATCAAGTTTTTTACGATGCCGCTACCCATGATACCCAAACCAAGGAACCCAAATTTCAAGGTCGATGGAAGGATGTTTTTCTCTTTGAGCGTTTGCGACAATGTTTCCACGTCCAAAGGGGGTGTTACCTATTGTATAAAGTAGCAAGGCAATTAACAATAAAAATTTTTATTAATTCCACTTCAGCTCAAAACTAGTTATGTGCCGCAGTAATTTTAAAGATAAGCTACATTTCACGAAAATTAAGAGAAAAAAAAAACGAAATTTTTTGTAATTACAGGAAAATTTTGTATTTTTAATTAGGGGGAAAAAATCAATCCTGTAGAATTCATGTTTAATTAACTGCACGAATACAATATTCACTTGTCATGTATATAAATATATTGGTAAAATAATCATCCCCCTTTAGTGGGAATTAATAAATCATTTCTTATTATTTATTGGTGAAATAAATTAAATTTAAAATACTAATTGAAACTTTCACTGGAATGTATTTGTGAGCTTTCACGGCATAATAAAAATTTATAGATGCAAGTAAATATACACGTATTAACAATTAAAATAGTGGTCAATGTATGCTTAAAAAATGACATTCTATTATAAAGAAAGGAATATAAGTCTGTTTAGTGATTTAAAGTTAAGGGAAAAGAATGTTCAATTTGCATTATTTAATACCCCTAATGTAATATTCATGGAAAGGAATTAAAAAAAGGCAGAATGTTGTTGCTCTTTATTTATTTACATCAGTAGATAAAATTTGATAAAATGTAATGCTCTGAAGGAGTAAGTTCCTGTTCTTAATCAATGTTCAGTTAAAGATATTTGCAAATTAATTTTTGTGCACAATAGAACAGAATGTTAACCGAGAAATTTTTTAGAAAAAAAAAATTCTTTTGTATATAATACTACTGTAAAATGGTAACATTTGAAATGTACTTACTGGTCTAGCAATATTTGCAGGCCTGTTAAGAAGTGTTGATCCTGATTTTCTGGGGGGTGTTGAATGATTTAAGGCAGGACTAATGCTGCCAACCCTATTACTGTTACTTGTACTTGATTCCCTACGCTGCTTTTTGGCTGGACGATGAGCATCACTACCACTTGTGTCTAATTTTTTAGTTTTTGGTGTTTCCTAAACCAATAATTACATGTCACATTTTACATTACATATTCATTAATCAATGTAGGATTATAACAATAACAATATGTATTAAATTACATATAAATGCAAATTATTGAAACATATATATTTTAACTAAATTTTTAATTATAATCCACAATATAAACCTAACCTTACGAGCTTTAGGTGTTTTTACTATATTCTTCTTCTCAGATATACTTTCTTCTTTAAGCCTGTCGAACAAGGAGTCTGGATCTAAGCCATCCTCAAATACCTAAAGCAAATAATGTTACTATATTGAATGGTTTATAACTATTATTTTTTTCTTAGATATTGTTAGGAAAAAAAATGTAAACAGTATCAGATACTAAATTTTGTATAACTTTCGCTACATTATATCTAAACATGTATGTATCAAATAACTTGTATTTTATGTATACAGCTTACCTCTCCATTAGCAATAAATTCCTCTATTGCTTCTACTGCATCTTTAAATGCACCTGATTTACTGGATTTTACAAGTGTATCTTTATATTTTTGATATGGCTTTATGTTAGATTCCTCTATCCATGCGCTATAAGAAATATTTTTGTAAGTTTCAAAGATCAACATATTACAAAACATGAAAAAATAAGATACATCATCAGAACTTACTAATTATTTGTTCCAAAGAAGAAAATACATTGAACTGGCCCCTTCTTAGTATTCGTTGGTTTCTTTAAGTCCTTTGAAGGATTAGACACCTTAAGATGTCATGAAGTAATTAGTATGTGTTAAAAATTATACTAAACGTGTTTTTTACACTAAACAAAAATATAAAAACAAAATATACTTAGAAAAGAAGAACATTAATAATACTTATATTTATATTGTTACATTTCGTGTTTTAGCATAAATAAATTTTGTAAATATAAAAAATAAAGTCAAATAAAATTTAAATCTTGTCTTTTCTATTAAATATCTTATTTTAAATAAAGAACTTTTTCAACGCGCCAGCATTTTTAACTTAAAAAATTTAAATACAGATAATAATATCAAATTCGGAGCATTAATAAAAAATTATTCGGAGCTTTCGAACTTCATTCATAAATAATGCAAACAATAAATACAAATACTAAATATGTTATTGTAAATAAAGCGATACGTTACATTCACATATTATGTGATTCAATTCATTTGTATAAGAAGATAATTACTATAAGCGCGCGAAACACATTCAAGGAAGTTACTCCCTTGTGAATGTGATCTGACAACATTGAATATTTTTTCCTCATAGAAGAAAAAAAAAAGGATAAAAATGTAAACAATTATTTGGATATACGTAATGTAAACATGTAACTTTTGATTCATCTGTGAACACCGTGGTTAAAGTTATGAAATCGCAGAACATAATTTAGGTTATATTTTCATAGCCTGCGCGCCAATTTGAATTTGAAGGTCGGATGCGGCGGGAGATATGTAACCAGAGGCAATGGTAGCGTCAACATTGTATAAAATATATTAATTTGCAACGTTATAATGCACAGTTAAAAAAACCGAAACGGAACTCGAGATGTTCCCGCCAAATATGATGGCCGCGTTTGACTTCGTGGCGCGTACGACCAAGCAAAGTGTAGTTAACACAGAACCGTTAGTAGTTAACTCAACTTACCCGACCAGGCCAAGGCGAAAATCCCTTCATCTTCGCCCTGAAATCCATAAAGATAACAATTAATAATCACTTCCATTTGCATTTCACTACTTTTGTTACAAACATTCATTGATTAACACGTAATGAGTACACACCATACTAGATCACCCAGTTTGAATACCTCCGACATAACGTAACCTCCGTACCGCTACTACAATCGGCAAGCG